AAATGCGTTAAATGTTATATGAAGAAATGAATGTCTCCAAGGCAACATGAATAAAGTGAAATAACAACATTCAAATCCTTTTGTTTGTGGAAAATTGAATTTTTTTTACCTTAAATCAAGGAAAAAGAACCCAATAAACTTTTCAAAGCAAAAAAAAGTGAATTCTACGGCATTTATTTTTTTGTAAACCAATTAAAAAATGTAATAGAAATAAAATATTTAGAATATTGTTAACAAAAAACGTTTTTTTTCCTTATCTTTTCTCTCGATCTTTTTGTAATATAAAAATAAATCCATCTGGGTGATCCATAATGTAATTTAAGGTTTACCCAACAATTATTAAATATATAGTCTTAAAAAAGAGTTTATAGTTTTCTCATAGTAATAAACTTTTTAACAAAATCAAAAATTTTTAACATTTTTAACAAAAATTTTTAATTTATGTTTGAGAACTTGTTTCTTATCTGTTTATATTTACATGTTTTATCAACAGCATTTTAATACCATAACTAGTTCAAAATTTAAAAAATATTCTAATTAGCAGCTGCAGTCTTGAAACTCATGAAAAAAATTTAAAAATTCATAGTAACTTTATTATATTTAACTTTAAAATATGTTTTAACACTGCTTATTACTGTTTATCATTTTTGTTTTAATACTGCTTAGCATCTTAATTTGAATTATGTAGCGGAAGTCTCTTAATTTTGAAATGTAACTTTATTAGTTTTCAAGAAAATAAAGCTGAGTGAAATGTTTTAAAAATACATAATTTGTTTTTCTACGTATAAATGTGTAATTTTCATGACTCTTTCTTTTTTTTTTTTTTTTAAATGACTTTAATTTCTTATTTAAAATATTAGTTTAATACTACTCTTTATTTATCATATATGACATTTTAAAGTTATAAATAAATTGTTTATTAGAGTAAAAACAACGATAGTATATATTTACACTGATACTTATTCTTAATGCAATCATAGTGTTTTTTAAAATGTATTTTTGGAGAGAAGGAAAGTGAGAAAAGTAGCAAAAAATCTACATCTTGTTTCACTCTGCTTTAATATTTATTCGAAATGGAACTTGATAAAGAGTTTCATGCATACTTTGAACGAAAATGCAATAAACATTTTTATTAACAAAAAAAATATTACTGACAATTATGTTAATTGATTTATTAGAATAAAAATGAGCATAGAAGTTAAAAAGAAAAATTATATGCAAAAAATTTATTTGAAAAATGAAATCGATTTTCAAATTAGACACACATTTTTCATTTCAAATGCTGTTTTTTTCTGTTATTACTATTATATTTAGTGCATTGAACATAATTTTTCTCCCAATTTTAAACTTTTACAGTTATTATTTATTGAAATAAACGTAATTAGTGCTTGTTTCTTCTTTTAATAATTAGTTTTTTTTAATCATAACTAATAAATTTAAGATACTAAAACTAATTACTTGTTTAATTAAAAACGTTAGGCAATCGTAAAGCAAATGTTGGCTATAAGTAATGAATAAAGTCATAAATAAATTATGATTTTACATAAATATTTTTGCTTTAAGAGATGACTCCTAATTCTGGGATATTCATTTTTATTTATGTTTCTAGATGAACTTAAAAAACTAATTAATTTAAACGAAATAATTAGTTAAACGTCCAAAAAAGTAAAATAATTCTTTAAATGACCATTTAAATCTCTTAATTTATAATGGACAATGGTGATGTAAAACTTTACTAAAAATTTTGCGAAGCACAATAAACAATGAAATAATATATTATAAAATAAAAATTTTGAAGATTTTTTATATTAGCAATTTTGAATCTTACAACAAATATACACTTTTAAAACTTGATTATTCATTTAAAGTCTAAATTTTGAAGGCATGTTAACACATAAATTTTGCATTGTTATAATAAATTGCAACACATTTCATAAAAAAGTGGAAAGCTTAAATGAACTAATTTAGAGCAATCTCAAAAAATTAACATATTTTATTTCCTACATAATTTATTGATCTCGTATCTCATTTTACCTTTAATATAAGCTGAAATACTTTTTAATTTTAAGTAAACTTATTAAAGTAAAGCCTCAAAAAATGTAAATACATTTGTTCATAAACAGTGCAACTAGTTTTTGAAATTAAGTAATGCTTGTTGGTATACATTTCTTAGTCGTAGTAGAACTTGTTAACTAAATTCGAATTTTTTACAGTATTAAAAAAAGTAATAATTACTAGTTTTTAAATTTCTTTCGTGATCTATCATGTTATTTCCGAAATAAATTAATGAAATTGATTTTAAAAAATTAAATAAATTCAACATCTATATTTAAGTTTAAATTCCTTAAAAATGCATTTATCTGCTAATATTAAAGCATTTGATGCATTCTAATTGTATGGCGCATTGTATTTGATTTATTACACAAACAAGTTTTCCTGTTTTGAATCTTGTATTTTGCTTTAATTTTCACGCCTCAAACTAAAAAATATTTGATTTATAACAACTAAATAATCACAAAGGATTTCCGACAGTTTTTAGTAGAATTTTTTCGATTGCATAGTTTCATAATGAAATTAAAAAAACTTCATTTAAATTACGAAAATACTTTATATTTTTTGTCATGTTCACATCCTACTTTTTAAAATTTAATTAACAAATAATTTTTTCTTCAAATGTAGATATAAATTACATATGGCAACTGAAGTAAAAATAAATTTAATTGAAAATGATAAGCAAGGTTTCCTGTCCATATTTTAAAACCTTAACTAGAATTCCCTTTATTTTTGAATTTAAATAATTTTTAAACGTCATATCGACATTAGAAATTTGGACACGTAGACGAAAAATTTTCGATACAATTGAATGAACAATTTTTTGTGCATAAAGTTGATAAATTATATGATTTTAGTAAACTAAAATTTAAATAACGAAAAATCATGGTTAAGAATTTCTGAAGGACATAATTATAATAATTAGAGAAAATTATTGTTAATTAAATTATTTTTCGATTAATTTTGAAATCATTTAACTCAAGGTATTTCTTATTTTTATAGACACACAAAAAATTAATCTTTCCTTTATTTATAGTTACTTTTATTAATATAATATTACGCGTATCATAAAATCCTCTAGATATCAATTAAATTTAATTTATTCTCAACTATTCTAATTGCATGAAAATCAAATTTTCAATTTTTATCTTTCATTGTTATAATTTTTATTGGTTATACTATCATAAAGGCACATCATAAAATCCTATGAATATTCACTGAATTTAAATTTTGCTTTCCTATTATGATCCTTTGGTTAAAAAATTCACAGTTTCTTTTTTAATTTTTACTTAAAGACGATAAAAACTTTACTTAAAGAAGAAGTTTTTTATCTGTAATTTATAAATGGTTGAAACAATCATAAAATGCTATGGATGCTAACTAAACTTCAATTTTGTTTGCGATATTATTCTATTTGGTTTATAATGCAAATTTTGCTTATTTTTCTGAACTTTTACTGAAAACTTAACTTGGAAAAGGAAGCATTCATAAAATCTATCTCCCAATAACTATAAAATCTCCCAAGTTTGTTTAAAAAATATTATTTATATTTTTTACGTTTAAGTTTTATGCATTTTTTATACAAAAATAAGGTTATAAAACTAATTTAATTCTTTTGAGTCTTATTTATAGATAAATTCCTGACAAAAATTCACCAAATATCATTAATATTTTTGTTAAAAAGTAAAATTCTTGTCTTAAAAATATGAACGTTTTTTAAAATATATTTATTTATAAAAGCAAGTTTTGACTCAACTTAATTTGATTTAATTAATTTATTCAAGTCATAAAACTGAAGCTCGTATTACATTAAAATAGTATTTATTATGATGTTTGTATTTTATTACGAAAACTACTGAGAATGCTATCAAACTTTCCCTTTCAATTTCCATTGATTTTCCATTTTCCATTCAATTTATGATTTCCATTTCCATTATTTTATCATTCATTTTTAAAACACGATAAATTCTTATTATTTACACAACACTTTTCATAAATGCTTTTTATTCTTATTTATTTTTCAATAAATTTTATTAACAATTTACATAACATTTTTAAATTATAAGCAATTAATGTTTGAAGTTATTGACCCCAAAATTATTACAGTCAAATGGTACGATTTATTTTTATTTCTAACAACATAAAATAGATAACTAAAGGTTTAATTAAAACATAATTGAATTTTCAGTACAAAACTTAACAACAAGGATAATTAAATTAAAGTGAAACTAAATCATCACCTCCTGAATTCACCCCTATTTCAAAATAGATATTCTAAAAGTTTAAGACTTTTTCTTAAATTCAAAAATAAATATTAGAATTCCATTACAGTTAGACCATGTAAAAAATCTTTGCTAAAGCTATAATATTTGTCTCTCATTTTCTAAGCAAAGCAGTAAACAATCAATGTTTACTTTTTGATCAGCATGCTTTCTTTCTCAAGGAACCCCAATAGCGGATTAAAACTAATCACGTATATAAGTAAAATATACCGTTCTGACATTTAATAAGGTGATGCAATAATAGAATAAATCAAAATTAATTTTCTATGACCGATTTAATATTTATTGTATAAACGCGCCACTGCATCCAAAAAGGATGCTAAAACCCGCCATTGCTCCTAATGCTCTTTTTGGAGTCGGATTCTCTCTTCGAACATCCCCATCCACACGTCTTCTAATCCCGGATCGCATCCTTGTCAATGGGAAAGATGGGCACTCGTTTGACCTATTACTCTTAAAGTTTAGATACAGCAGATCAGCACAATCCTAGTCGACGAATGCTTTATTTTTTCTTTCCAATCTTAGGTTTAGGAATTACTATGTCACAGAAGCAAAGAGATCTACACTATCCACGCGCCATGTTGCGGGGATCGATACAGAAGGTACTACTCCAAAGAGCTGTACAGAGAAAAGGTAGATAAAAATATTGTTTGTTTTGGTACTCACTAAGGCCCTCGAACTTTCGTATGATGCTGTCGACGTAGGTGGTCTGTGGGGCGACATGGCCCCTCCTAACAGGCATACTGGCCGCCGCCTGCAGTTATCAGAAAGGGTCCAACATAGTCCCAGAGCGGCGCGGGAGCCAGGGTCCCGGGCGCTGTCTCCGACGGACAACCATCGGTTTCTGCTGCGGAAAGCCACTGACTGCCAAGCCCCTGCCGCCTTTCCTGGATCCCACTGATTGTCGTGACAGCGCCCTCTTAAGGGGGCGCTTCGGGGGTTGCGCCCCGGCGGGATTAGGATTGTCTCGTCACCCTTCGCTCCAACTTCTCAGCTGTTAGGTGTGGGAAAACACAATGAGTTGATGCTTTTCTGGAGGAAGCAGTGGCGGGTGGAGATTGAATTCTGATCGGAAGATAGTTTAAAAGGATCACCCCTTTTCTGAACAATTGCTTCATCGCAATCAGATTTCGCTGATTCCGGGAATTTTTGAATCTCGACGCTTCTTCGAACTGATCGCTTAGTTTGTTTAAATTAACTACCTCGCTGAGTTCAGGAATTTTATGAAATGGAAATAGTTCTAAAATTATTTGTACATTATGTAATATCTAATTACTCAATATAAGATTAAGCACTACGCTAAAAATCGAAAGATTATTTCAAATTATTTTATAAAGCTATATGTAATTAAGGATATATTGCTATTAATAGGTAGATAAAAGATATGCAAGCAAATAATTTTTGGCATTGGTTTGGTTTTTGTTATTAAAATGAAATTATTTTAGCGTACCTTGTTCAGGTTCACGTTTTATCTCGTAAACATTAAAAAGGTTGAAAGTAGCAACTTCAACCGGGAACTTCTGTTTATGTTGTGCATAAATAAATATGTTGAGGTCCGTAAGGAAATATTAGTGAATAGGTGAAAAAATAGTGAATTTCGGAAGTCCTAAATCGGAAGTACTTGTCTTGTGAACATTTTTTCTATTTTTATTATTTACTAAAACACTGAACACGCTAAAACTACGAAATTTAAAGAATTCAATTTTCTGAAAACTCATAACGTTAAAAAATTAAGTTTTTTTTTAAGTCTGTTAAATACATGAATTAGCATGTAAATTTATTTAAAATTAAACTATTTTATATAATTCCCGGTAACAGAACTTAAAGGTAAGATTATACAGGTTCTTAAAATGAAACGAATTTATTTCGAATAACTGAATTTTTTACAATTTTGTTTATATTTTTAAATATGCACACTAAAGTTTTCCCGGTAAACTCTAAGTGCTTCATTGCAAATAAGGTGAGTAAACTGTTTGCAATTTAATTATATATTTTTATTTTCTCATAAAGTATTTTTTTGTGAAAAAAATCTAAAACAAATAATTTACTATTAAAATTATTTGACATTGCAATTAAAATTTGTACACTATATAATTCCTCTCTAGTCTCCTGGTGTACGAAATTAACTAAAGCAAAATAACTTTAGTGCAAAAATGCGCATTTTGCGTGTGTGCTCAAAATAACCTTTTTTATTACCGAAATGTAAGTGCCAAAATATTTAAGCAAAAATCTCATTCATAAATCACTTATATTAAAATATTTTCAACTCATGTTAAAAACATTTGAATAAAACGTTTTAAAAAATAAAAAAAAATTCATTTTATTCATAAGATTAAAAATCTTTATTTCTAAAAATATTACATCCTACTTTTCTTTAAAAAGAACTTTTTAAAATGCTTATGATTAGCAGCACTTTTAAAAAGTGTAGTTAATTTTTTTAAGTTCTGTTTACTATTATAAACAGATGACAACATAAAAATGGAATATTAGTGGTTCTTAACACTACGAAAACTGATAGGCCATTTCCATGAAAAAGTTAAGCGCTTTTGCTGTGCAAGTAAACGTATTGAGAAATGTATTGCTTTTAAAAAGAAAAAACAATTTCGAACCATATCAATATTTCAGTTCAAATATAGCTATTGAAGTATTTTTTAATCAATATTTATCTATTATATTTCGATATTTATCGTAATATTTATCGATATTTATAGTTCAATACTAATAAAGTATCCCCTCATTGCAATTAAAAAATTAATCATCAATGGCATTTTAACAACTCAAAATTTAACCGCTTGCGTTTTTGATATAAATAAACTAAACACCGTAAGTGAAGTTCTAACTTTATTTTAAAAGCAGTTTATTTATGCAATGAATAGCCCTTATATCTTTGCCTCCAGCAAACAACCCTACTTTGAATGGATAAACATACACACGAAGAAAAATTTTAAGTAATGAAACAATTTTCACATGAATTAAATTGTGACGTTGTACTAGATGAGAGTAAAAGCAGTCGTCCAGCTTAACAATTCAGATTTCATTTATACTTTATTTTATTTCATATTTGAGAACAAAAATGTGCTATTTTTATTAAACACCGCTATTCTTAAATGAATATGCCATGAAGTGTATGGTCATAATGGTTTTCGTGTTAACCCACAAATCTGATGATTGCGTGTAAATGTATCACGATTTGCAAAAAATAAACATTTACTTGATTTGCAGCCCTATTTTTAGAGCTTTGGGACAGAAGATTCTTCTAAAAACTACTCATTAACTTGTTAAAATTTAATGTGCAAACAATTATATATTAATGCGTTCTACTCTAATTCTACTTTAATACCATCCTAGCAAAATAAAATGTATTATTGATGAAGAATATTAAGATAATCGCTTAATATATTCAAATTATATGTTTATAAATCTAAAATCTGCTTATAACAATAATAATGTATTTAATAATTATATTGCTTTCATAGATATTGATAAATGGATATTTTTTGTTTAAGTTTTTGGATGAAATATAATAACGATCTTAACTTGTTATTTGTAACTTTGGCGTATTTGCTTGCAACTTAATTTTAAAGAAATTTTTTAATGCATAAACGTGAACTACAAATAAATGACATACAAAATAAGAGGACAACCAATTTTATGAGTGACATCAAGCAACTTTTTGCCCACTTTAAGCCACTAAATATTAAGATATCTTCACAAATTTTGCTACGTGGCAACTTACACATCTCTAAATTAAAAATAATTAAAAACATTTGCTTAAAGGAAAAAACATTTTAATTAATAAATTGAAAATATGCTCTGACAGACAAATAGAGCTGTAATACAAATAGAGCAAGTCCACTATTGGGTTTCACCATCTCTCTTTGTCCCAAACATCAGAGTTCCACAGTCACGTGCTTTATTCTCTCTTATTCGCTGATTTTAAAGGAGAGATAAAGGCATCCTGTGACAGTTGAGATAAGTTCTCTTTTCTGTCAGATTCGTGTTTAGTCCATATACAGGCAATGGAGGAAAGTTAAAAGCTTCAGGAGTGTTAAGTTTAGTGGAGCAGTAAAGTAAAGTAAATCAATTTTCAACAAGATTTTGCTAGATTAAAAATTATTTTAGATTTTCAATTTTTTAATGTGTATAAATTGAACAAAATTGCTAGCATTTTTAGAAAAATTTTCGAACTTGAATAATAATTTCGAATGATTATTTTTAAAAAAATGGTAAATATGTATCTTTTGATAAAAACTTATTGCAATTTGATTCACTAGTTTGCTATGATATTTGAAATGATTTTGTAACAACCCTGAATGATAATTTTTTGATTGATTTATCGATAATTGAAGAAAATAAAAAGAAGCCTTTAAATTTTAATCTAAGATATATTTTACTATAGTTCTACATCTTGTAAAATCATAGATATTTTTTCAGGTATTTAGAATTATTGAAAATTTTTACAAGAAATGATTTTTGATTTGTCAAGCATTCAAAAAGTAAAACTTGGGAATAAAGGGAAGCTGAATCACCTTAAAAAGACTAAGAAAAATCCACTTCACACTTTTAAGCTTTCTGATTTTGTTTGCAGTTTACAAATACAATCATGAACTTTAATATATCAGCTTATTTTCTCAAGCTTTTTGTATTATTGAAATTAGAAAAAAGCAGACGGTTTCAAATTAAAAAGATCGGACAATTTTATAAAAAAACCTTATAGTTAAGTGTTAAAACTTTGTTTTATTTATCTAATAGTTTCTTATAAGCTTTCATAACCCTCTTCTCTGTGAGCAAATGAATATTGTGATCAATATAATTCAAAACAAGCTGCTGAAATTAAAAAAAATATTGAAAAATTTATTCTTTCACAAATATCATAGAGAATGAAAAAAATACACCAAAAGTAAACAACATACAAAACAACAAGGAAAGAAACAACAAAGTCGCCAAAACTTCACCTACTGCATTTTAGTACTAAAATTAAAAATATTAAAATGATGCATTAGTATTATTGCATAACCTAATTATTACTTTATGGTTAAATTGCGTTCTTATTCGCTTATATTTAGTAAGGTAGTTTTGAATGTACAAAATTTTGATTGAGGAATGAATAAATTGGAATAATCGGGATTAATGTGATGTTCTAAGGAAAAGAAAATCATTCTAAAAGTCCATTTATATAATAAATAAAAAAAAATTTAATTCCAAAAAAGTGATAAATTAATTTATGCATGAAATGTATGAGGGTTCCCTTTAACAAATTTTTTGTACAACCAAATACTGCACAATAAACCACCATGTTTCAAGATTTCGGGATTGAAATTGCCAGAATCGATTTTCTTCACCCTACAGTTCCGCAGCTGGATTCACCATACAATCACGCGGTTTCGTTATGGAGGCAAAACCTATCGTGATTTGCATGCTCTACTATATTTCACCTCTATGGGCAAACATGACAAAAAAAACTGACATGGATACAGAATGTCTTAAGCAAATGACCAACTTCTCTGAAATGGTACAAAATTTGAACAATACAATAAAAATTGAACCTTAATTATAAAACGTTAATGAAATTTACAGGAAGTATCTTTAAAAAAAAATAATAATAATTACTATCGTACACGTATAACATTTTTTTTACTCTAAGTTAAAATATAACATTTTTATTTTGTAAAAAAACTACAATCTGTATGTTTTATGAATAAGTAAAATGGAATACTTAAATTTCTGTATTAGCCTCGAGAATTTATTAATGCAGTAGTTTTAACAATTTTTCTTTATATAGTAACAGATGACCTGTTCCTCAAGCTCAAATTTGTAAGCTATCTTCGTGTCAAACAACTAAATGCTTAATCAGGTATTGTTTATT